TTTCCTATTCATTAAAGTATAAGCAGATACAGAGCCACAAAGAGAATCTGAGGACATTTGTTAAAGACCTGGATTGGGTCAAAATGGACCTTTCCATGGTGGTACCAGCACTTATCTTGTGGCCTTATCAATTTCTGCAAAATGTAAGCTTTAATTGCTTTACAAAATTAGGTTTCTAGTTCTTATAGTTGTGAAAAAAACTTTCTTTCAGAACATGACCAATACAGTACTGAGTCTGCAGACCAACAGAATGTAACAGCTCTAAAGGCCAAATACTGAGTCCACCCCATCACTCATTGGAAACAGAAGATCCAAAACAATGTGCCCTTGCCATGGCTCCAATGCAGAGTTTCAGCAATGGGGGCACAGAGACAGAACTGACCTCTCCCCATACAAGCAGCCCGTTGTGGGTAGGGTTTATGTACAGTGGCGGGGTACTGTGGAGAAACTTGCATTCCGACAGCTAATGCTGCAGCTGTTCTGTGATTTCATAGAGGCCACCAGACTAGGACTGTCCACCTGGCACCTTTCATCAGTGGTAAATTCATTTAGTGTGGGATTTTCAAAAGCACCTAAGTGACATAGGACCACTATTCTGTTCTATACCGTATAGATTCATCCCAGTATCTGAGCACTTTCCAGCATTGCACTAAGCAACGTGACTAAGATCTGTCATGTGTTTGTTCTCTGATCCTCTCCCCGGGGAGAAGTGTGTACAGTGGAGTGTGTTTGTTTTTAACTGTGTGTCTGTCTGTCTATAACAGGGGTAGGCAACCTATGGCATGTGCGCTGAAGGTGGCACACGAGCTGATTTTCAGTGGCGCTCACACTGCCTGGGTCCTGGCCACTGGTCCGGGGGGGCTCTGCATTTTAATTTAATTTTAAATGAAGCTTCTTAAACATTTTAAAAACCTTATTTACTTTCCATACAACAATAGTTTAGTTCTATATTATAGAAAGAGACCTTCTAAAAATGCTAAAATGTATTACTGGCAGGGGAAACCTTAACTTAGAGTGAATAAATGAAGACTCGGCACACCACTTCTGAAAGGTAGCCGACCCATGGTCTATAAGTTTGTTAGAGAAAGGAAAGGGAAAGAAAGAAAGTCCCATTGACTTTCAAGAGCAACATTAAAAAGATTGAAACTTGAATATTAACCCTATAGCAATATAGTTCTAAAGTAGAAACATTGACACTTGGAACTTCCAGTAAGATGGATTCATCATTTAAAATATCTTTAAACGTTATAGTACATAATTCCTAATATATAACAATTTCTGAAGTGGAATTTACTCATCCAACTCTCTTTGCTTCTGCATTTATGTTTAACTGTGTGCATAAAAATAAAAGCCAATATGTTTTTTTAGATTTCAGGAACATGTGAGGGGAACAAAGATACACTGTGTAACCTGTGTCTCATACTTTCAGCATCCGTTGACAGTCATGAGCCATAGGATTCATTACAGTCAGCTTATCTTGGCAGGCTGATAACAGGGCACTATTGTAGTAATTAGACAATCTGGGCAGCATGTGAACAAATAGAAAATAATGTCAAATGTTACATAGTGCGGGCAATCCTAGAAACTATTGGGCTGTCCCAGCTAAATCAAACATCACATCAAAGATACTCTGCTGTGCCACAGAGAAATCATAAATGTCAACCACAAAAGATGTCTGTGAATTCACTACAAAGCTGAGACATCTTTTAAGATTATGTTAAATTGCTCTGAAAATCACTGGGGTGTTAAAATAAATACACACATAACATTTAGTGTGAGTGAAATTGTACTCTCCGATGAAAAGCCCGAGTAAATGCAAAAGAAAAGATAAAATTCTCCACTCACAACCCACAGTCATGGCATAGGTAACCCAGGCTAAATTAGATTTCAGCTACTACTTTTATCCATAGATTCCCACTGTACTTAATCACAAATTGTCCTCTCTCCCATGCATGCTACCATGTAAGTGGATCGCTGAAGAGCTGAGCTCCAGAGTGCACAGGTGGCCGTGGAGTTCAACTACATTTTGAGATTTGTGCAGCCCCTTGATTATTAGGATCATTTCTCTTTTAAAGAAGAAAGAGAAGGCAGAAACACAATGAGAAGGGATGAATTTCCTATTTTGAGTCCAATGTTTGTAAATTGTAGGAAAGGCTCAGTTCTTACATTGGTGTGAATGCAGAGCATCTTCATTGAAGTTAGACAGAGTTACAGTGGAGTAACTCCACAAGTATCAGGAGGTAGCCGTGTTAGTCTGTATCCACAAAAACAACAAGGAGTCGTTAAGGTGCCACCGGACTCCTTGTTGTTTCCACTGTAACTGAAATTTACACTAGTGTAGCTGGTCATTATTTGGTCCAGTGTATAATAATTAGAGTATGGAATAACAGATAATAGGTGGCCTTTGTTTCTTTTACAAGTATCTGAACTAATTGATTTCTTCATGTAGTGAAACAACAGCCTGGAGTATATTCAATATGTGGGCAAAGAAAAATGCTTATAATGAAGAAAGAATGCTAAATAAGTATAACTGTCTGATTTCTTTCAATCAGAGGAGTCCCGAATAATATAAAAATAGAATAATGGCATGTCTTAGCTCATCATGAAGAAAGATACTGTTGGAATTAAATCTCGGATGTTTTAAATAAATTCAAGTTCAAACGTTTATCTGAACAGTGCTCTGAAAATGGCATTGTAGTGTTTTTGTTAACACCTCCTCCTGAAAGCATAAAATTGCTCTTCTGTCAAAGCAATTTTAAATGAACTCTATCCTGAATGAGAAATATCCTTCTTTTCCCCTTACCGCTGGGAGTTACGGTCATGTTAAAAGGCGATTAGAGTCCATCTCATTATCAGCTGCCATCTTTAAAAATACTGATTTATGTATAAATTAATTGCATCAATAACTAATGGTATTCTAAGTTGGGTGCTCAACATATCTTAGAAAATGCTGGTGGTTCTTCTAATACTTTTTGTTGTTGTTGTTCCACATAAGAACTTGGTAGTACACAGTAGCAAATACATTAGGACTTGTCTACGTGGTGCAGTAGTGCACATCAATGGGGTGTGAATTCTAATGCACACCAACGTGAGGCTCATAAACTGACCTGTGTAGACCCTACTGACACACACTAAAAATTCCCTAGTGCGTGTTAATATAGACCCATTTCAAACAGTACTACATTAATGCACACTAGGGAACTTTTAGAGAACACCAGCAGGGTCTCCACAGGCCACTTAGTGCACAACATATTGGAGCACCTTAGAATTGTGCACTGATGTGCACTACCACACTGTGTAGACAAGCCCGTAGAGACCTTCATGCATAATAAAAATTGTTGCTCAGCCAACATCAGTCACAAAGCAGCCCTTGCCTACTAAGCCAGTGAGCACTCCTGAAAATTGTTTCAGAAGGATTCAAGTTCTCCAGCTATCTTTGGGAAGGTTAAAGTGCCATGATAATAGTTGGTTTTGGAATGTCACAGGGGAGAAAAAACAATAAATGACAATGTCTTAATATTCAAAGTTAATAATTACTGAATTCTCAGAGGTGAAAACTTATTAGAGGTGTTCATAATCACACACGTACAAAATGCATTTACATAGATGTGTGTGTATTTGTGTGTGTTGCATACAAAATAAACCCTATATGAATGTTCAGGTTGCAAAGCTAAGTACTAAAAATTAGGAAATGCCAGAATTAAGGTTGTCTATGAGTATACAGGTTTCTACGACATGAGCTAACTGTGAAACTGGCAGCAGTAGTAGGCTATTATCCTCTATGTGACTCAGCCACTAAAGGGTGATGAAACACAGATTTTTCCAGTGTGTTTAACAGCTATTTGACAGCAGCGGAATGTGGAGACTGAGGAATCCTGAATTCGATTCCAGGTTTTGGAGGGAGTGTGGTTTAGTGACCTATAGACCATTCTGCCCCTGTTCCCACTACTCACTCTCTCTCTGATCCCCTCTCCATCTGTCCATCCCTACCCCCAATTTGCTTCTCACCTCTCTGTATTCCTTCAGGTCAGGTAGCTTCCTCTTCACTGCCTAGACACCAGCAACAGGAGCATGGAGAGAGAGAGAGAGAGAGAGAATCTTTCTACTGTCAGTCCTGGTGCCACAACAGCCCCCAGCGGCCAGGAACAGTGATTAATTGCAGGAAAAGTCCTCCTCCCCACTGTCCAAACCATGGGATAGAGCATGCTCGGTTGTTCTGTGGAGAAGGAGCATGCTCATTACAGTCAATACATAGGAGCTGTGAGAGTATGGGGAATGCTAGGAGCAGACAGAATTTTTGGAGAATGAGATTGACCAACTCTAAGAAGTCTCTATTCAGCATGTGTGAGCTGCACTTTTCAGAGGTTTATATCTTAAATTTTCATGGGGCAATAAAAGGAACATTCCTGCCACAAGGACACCCCATTTTCCACCCTAGTCAGCTAAATTTCAAGTCCCTGCTTCAACTTATGGCATTATTACAGCTTCTCAGTAAGAGGGTTTGTAAGAATTTTTGAACATGGGCAAGACAACATTTTCCCTAATCTCTGCCTCATAAATGGCTGAATTATTTTATCTACAACTTTCCAAAAAAAACTTCAGGCCAAGACAAGCACTGGCATGGAAAATTTCAGCCCAAATGGTTAAAGTTTGGCAAAATTAAAAGCAACTGAAAACAGGGCCTATACAAGCAAGTGTTAGGCAACCTTAATTATAGGTGATACTATCAACTCCTTCTATAACATATGTTGTGTGTGCGCATCATAAAATGTACAGTTACCCTGAAAGTCTAGATAATCAAAAGCAAGCTACAAATAAATGTTATTGCCTCCAAAACACTCAAATTATCTGCTTTAACTTGCAGTGAAGGAAATCTGGCCACAAAGCAAGTTGTTTTCCTTCAGAGACCTGTTATGTGGAATTCAACTACCCAGACTCCAGAGGTGAGTAAAGATTATGTTCTTACTGAGTCAGTATCAGCAGATACTGTAGTTGAATATGGACAGAGATTGGTGGCTGCTGATTAACCTTTTGCATCAACAGTTTTAGGTAATGATTTTTAGTTTCATACAGAAGCAAACTAGGATTTGAAATCAGGGAATAAAGAGTGATAGAATGAGCCTTAACTATAGCAAGTTAGATGCAGGTTTCTAGAGGATATTAGCAGTTGTCTCAGTATAGGTCGCGTTGGGGTTTTTTAGTTTTGTTTTGTTTTTCCCCTTTTTGACTGGTTTGCATTTTATCTCAATTTTTCTCCAGCAGTGCAGTTCGTTAATAAGTGAAGCAGTACCTGGATGAAAACAATATCTTGTATATAGCCTAAAATCTATTATTTAGACTGAAATATTGTTTCCAGAATTAATCACTTATCTGGTTGGATATCCTGTAGCTTGTTCCTTCAAGAACTTTGGCAAGCCTTTCAATGCACTGCAACCATACAAATTCTACAGGTATTCCACATCATAAAGAAAACTTCATTCTGATCTCAAAACTAATTGAGAAGAATATGCAAGTGATAACATAATC